ATAAATCACGTAGATTCACATAATACATGCAATTATAATTTAAACTCATTAATGGTGGCGAGTCTACCTCAAATTTTTTCGTGTCACGTGAAAAGTGGAGCGGGAAGTAACTTCAATCTCCTAATCGTCCGTACGTTTCGTCTAGTCAAAATAGAGTTTAGGGACTAAATTAGATATTTAAGAAACTGAAATTGAAAAGTTTAAGGAATGTAATTAACCCTTTTTGAAATTTGGGGCTGACTGGGGGAAAAACAAGACTCCAGGGACTGATCATTTATAACTGAAGCTTTTTGGGACCGAAATAAAATACTTTTGAAACCTGGGGCTTAAGGGGCAAATTTCTAAAAATCAATTTATACAAAATCTCTCTCTCTCTCTCTCTTATATTTTGTTTTTTTGTTTTTTTTATATATATAAATATTTATAAATTTTCTCTCTCTTTCTCTCTCTCTTTCTCTCTCTCTCTCTCTATCTCTCTCTCTCTCTCTCATTTTCGATTAACACGAGTAGAGAGAGAGAAAGTAGCGACGGGGGAAGGGGCTCTGCCCCTTACTTTGGTTCGACCTCCGGCGAAGTGGCCTCAACGCCACCGTCGTGTGGTGGCGTCGGGGTGTGGGGGAAGGCAAGCTAGGAGGAAGTTTAGGTACGGACCCAGGCTAAAATTGAGGCTTGGAAGGTTCGATTTTTGGGTTTCTTGGTGGCAATCCGGCTGAAAAAGGGTCAGGAAGTGAGGTAAGTTTATGGGTTATGCTATTTCTTGGTTTTGTGGTTGATTGGGTGTCGATTTTGGGGTGAAAATGGCTGTCAATTTTGGAGGTGACAGCTGCGGTTTGTGCGTGCTTTGCATTTGGTAGTTCGAACGATGGCGGGAACGTGGGGTGGCTAGCTGCAGCTTGGGTTTTGGCTAGGTTGAGGCATGCGAATTTTTGTGGAATCATCATGTTGACGATGCTAGAAATGGATGTTCCAGCATCATCGAGAGTTTCCAATGTGAAAGTGTATTGAGGCAAAATTTGAGGGAGAGTTCCTTACCCAGTGGTTGCTGCTGTGTGAATGTGAGGAGGGATGGAATGANGGTTGCTGCTGTGTGAATGTGAGGAGGGATGGAATGAGTGTGCTATATGAACAGTAGAAAATTTAGGGCACAAATTTCTAGGAAACTAATTGGGCCAAGAAGTTGGGCCGTAAGGGTTTTCCTAGTTGGACATAAGTGGATTGGGCTAAATAGTCCAGGTTCGGGCTATTAAAATTTTGGACTCTAAATAAAACGTTGCACTTATAATTATTAAAATTTGGATTTAAAGATGATAAGAATTTCGATACTTTAAAAATATTCGGGATTGAACTTGACTTGAATAGTTTTAAATTGGTTTTACATCGGCTAGACGAACACGCTTTCAATTTAGAATTTGGGGTTAAAACTTAGCGACACGTTTTTTAATAAAATAATTTTATATTATTTAAAATTTCTCAGTCGCTACATACTTAGTTATTAATCTTCTGTTCTTGTCATATGTATTGATAATTTTATTTACGTCTTTAGTATCATAGTTATTTTTTACTTATTTAAAATACTTATTTTTTTTTGTTCCTCACAGTGTAGGCATATTTGCACCTTCAATAGCTCTTAACAAATCTCATGTTGGCTGTAATATAATTGTGAAATGCTTTTTTTTTTTTTCCATCAACTTCATCACCAAATTAGCTGCTTTTCATAATATTTGCCTACGTTCTCATTTGATTTTTTCTGCAGGGCATGTAACTTGCATTAGGTTCGTGAAGAATTTGAATTTGCCCCTGCTGGTAAGCTTATATTCAAAACAAATTAAGAAATTCCAGTTATGTAGTTCCAAGTTATGACCTCTTGAAAGCTGTTTTCTTCTTCCATGTAATTGGAGGTGGGGAATACACTAAAGAGAACGTGGCTAGATGGTGGACTGTAGATACTGGAATTCTTTTAGATGTAGAGCTTCCTGATGGTACGCTGATGTACCTCTGTCTCATGGGAATGCTCTGTCTCCCATTACAGTTTTGTTTTTGTTGAAATTTTGTTTGAAGCATGTGCTTATATCTAATTGATAAAGTTTGAAGTTTTTAGTTTTTCGTCTTTATTAAAAAAATATGATAATTTTTTTGTTTTTTGTAATGTTGGTTACAATCATTTGACATTTGTTGTTGGAAATATATTTCTCACCTTCAAATTCTTTTTGAAGAATCATCAAGTGTGCGAATAGACTTAACTTGAGGAATGTTGGGCATGTAGACATAGAAGAAAAGAAATCAATTTGTTTATCTACTTTGATTTGTAGTCTGCTTTGTTTTTACCCAACTGGATCATTGTGAAAAAGCAAAACTTACCCCTAAAAGCGAAGTCAACAATGAACTTGACAAAGCTCCTCAATATTCTTTTTCTCGCAAGAGAAAAGGAGACGAGGGAGGACAAGCTTGAAAAAATGCTGGAAGATGATATAACACAGGAGCTAATTTCGTTACATATGCAGATGATAGTTATAGACATAAAATATCAACTGAGAAGGACACATACTTGCTGTTTGGAGAAGACCTGATAATCTATAATGTCAAATGCATAGTGTGTTATCTAAACTTCTCGATTATTTTTCTCTACAGTTTCAGAATCTTGTCCCTGTTCCAAAATTCTATGAAAAAATTGTTACTGAACAATTTGCTGTCTTAGGTTGGTAGTTAGAGTCATTCAGCTTTCTGCTTCATGCAAAAATATGCATACTTGAATTATTTAGGGACTAAGCTACAGATAATATCCACATTGGCAGCCGATCACGTGAAGAGTTTTATTAATATTGAGCCAACATGCAGTACGATATTAATAAGCTTTTGAGTAATTATTCTCCTGCTACAATGAACAAGCTGGTTGAAATAGAGAAATAAAACTTCAGAAGGGGATTGTTGCCCCTACTTATGAACCTTTAATTAAGAATTTGTTGTCCTTCGTCATATTGAGCTACAACTCCAATATCGAGGGCATACTATCATATTGATTGACGGTTGAGTTTGACAGGGACAATCATTTTACTTAAACATAGCTGTTATCTACATCATGATTACTTCCTACCTAAGTGATCATTTCTAACTTTTGATTAGTGTATAGAAAAGTCTTTACGTTGACACTTGTCCACTCAGAAGTGATCGTTTTGGCAGTGATGACATCATCAAAGAAAAGCATTTGTAGTTGGGTGATGTATGTTCTTGCAAAACAATCATCGATTAGTTGATAGTGTTTTCAAAAGCTGATATTCATCAAAAAAAAATTTGTCTTCCTAGAAAACAAGGCTTCCATTGCCACCTGGGTCCAAGGTGAAATTACTGTACTATACAATCTTTACATGCCAATAAGAATGGGTCCCAAGGTGAAATTACTGTACTACAATCTTTACATGCCAATACGAATGGGTCCAAGGTGAAATTACTGTACTACAATCTTCTCATGCCAATAGGGAAGATTATATAGCAACAATACTATTAAGGAATAGAACTATATTAAAATATTGTTTGTTATGCCATCCAGTAGTTAGGTCTACTATTGTATACGACAATAAATACTTATTTTCAGTCAGCCTACTCATATCTTTTAAATATATTTATAAAACAGTGGTTATCTACTAATATGACTGATAGGATATCATTATCAAGATCAGACTATATTTTTATTCCAAATGCTTATATTTCTGATTTAGAGTATTGATATACCAGATAGACTGCCATTAGTATCAATTATTTCTTTCCCCAAACACCTATATTGTTAGTATAGATAAACGTTCTTCTATAAATTAAATTATTTTACAGTGAAGAAGAAGAAAGATCTACCTGATTCCTTTGCTCAATACACATGCTAGGTCAGTTATATATTTATGCTTAGTTTCTCAGCAAAATGTCATGTTTTATTTTCCTCCATTTTAGAACCCGTTTTCCTGGAATTTTGCCACACCTTCTCTTAGGATCTACAAAATAAACATATAAGCTTTTCTCCAGATAAAGAATATTGCTACTTGATACTTATCAACCTAACAAGAATTTTTCATACCATATTAGTACTGACTTTTGAACACAGCAAGATTGAAGACTACTTAAAACTAGATTCCCTTATAGGTTTGATCTATAAATACACACCACGCCTGCAAATTTGTATTCAAAAGCATGCACCAACATCAATTCCTTGAATTATCGCAAAGAAAATAAGAGACCCTGTGCCATTGTAAAATAGCTGTTAGATATTATATTTGATTCCTTATTTTTTGATCCCTTTTTCATTCATAGGAGTTGAATCTTTGTTTCATTTCTCCCTTTTCTTCTAAATTATTATATACATTTGTTCATTTATACCACTTATTTTTTCCCCAAACATATCATGTCTCTTTTTTTTTCAATTACAATGAACTTTTTTGTCAACTATTTTTCCCTTTTCTGGAATCAGTACTTTATTTTTTACCAACAATTTTTCCACAAAAAGTATGGACAAAAAAAAGTAAGCTATCACACCCACAAAAACCGTTTTGCCTCTATATTTGTTTCTCTACAATTACTTATTAAATTACCCTACCGACAAGACTTTTCCCAGCAAAAATTATGGACAAAAATAAATGTCGGCTATCACACCCAGAAAAATAACACTGACAACTCTGACTTTAAGATGTTACTTTTAGTGCTGTCTGCCTTGGTTTTTTAACCTGCAGCCATTTTCCAGGAAGAAGTACTATAAGTACAATAATTATTCTTGTATCTCTATCTTAACTTATCTATAATGAAAAATATCTATAAAAAACCTTTCGATTTCTATATAATCAAATAATATTATACCCTACCTTTAGAAACACTTGTGTACAAGAAGAAAAACCAGAAGAAGAACAAGGTATGCATACATTTTTCACATCTCTTCATTTTCTCGATTCTCCCTAATTCTTTCTTTCCTTCCTTGAAACCTCAGCAAACTCAACAAAGATGTCAGGAAGTTATAAATTGATTCCACAAATCAGTCCAACTGAAAGGAATTGGAAAGCCAAAGTCATTGTTGCTGAGAAGCTATCTCCTAAACAAGCAAGATACAGTAATAACAGATAATAAAATGTTTGCTAAGCCTTAAAAGTGTACTTGTAAGTAAATTATAAGTTTTAATGTTAAAGTCAGAAATTAGAACATATGTTGTCTTGCCAAACTTTTCAAGCTACTTATTTTCCAAAAATATGATTCACTTGTAAAAATTAACAATATTTACTCAAAAGTAAGAAAATAGTAACTTAATTAAATAAAATTTACCCTTTTAAAGCTTATTAGCCAAACCTGTTTTTAATTTGTTGTTCTAGATATAACCTGTTACATTTTCCATGGTCTATGATGATACCAAATGAGCAATTTTTTAGTTTGAGAGCTAGGTGAAATGTGCATTTTGATTTTCTGTGATGTTGATGGCAATGCGGGATCTTTAAATCTATCATTTGTAACTCTTATAATTGGTATTTTCCATTTTTTTTGTGGTGAATTGCAAGCATATATTCTCTCTTAAACTTGTGTCTTATATCATAGTATAAAAGAATTCAAGTCATTTTGGATCATATTTGTACTTTGGATTCTAATTTTCTGTTGTTTAACTCTGCCTCAGAGAAAAAGGGCCAGTTGATGATGAGAAATGACATATGTAATAGAGCAATTGTCGCTCATGTAGATCATGGGAAGACTACACTGGTGGATTCAATGTTGAAACAAGCAAAAGTAGGTATTTTGGAAATCCTGGCTATTTTGATTTCCTTTTCGCAATAAGTTTCTAACAGGAAAACAAAGTTGGCACGTGCTTTAAGATGAGACCATTTTTGAGAATCTTTCAATTGCAGTCATTTCGTGGATTTCTGTCGATGATATAGTAAGTTTGGACAAAAAAGATAACCACCATGTTTTAACAAAAGGTTTTACATGCTATTTTATAAGATTATTTTGCTACTATGACTGCTAAACAAAGAATTGAAGTTGATGAACTTGTTTATACTTCTATTATATTGCATTTTTCTGATCAAGCGATAAGGAAGGTAGGAAAATAGATTATGTTGAACTTTCATGGAAAAAATTGGAAGAACTTTCATTAGTTAAAGTCATTCCCAAACAAATTGTTTCTGCTACAAAAATTTTTTAGTTCTAAGATTAATCTCTCAAGAATTAGATGATAACCTTCAATAAGTTAGTACAAGACATTACTAATACCAATGATAAGGTGTTTAAGAAGTATAAAACAGTTTTACTTTTAAATGTCATTCCTATGGCCTATAGAGATGTCAACATTGGTATTAAACATAGCAGGGACACTCTAGCCCTTGATTTTGTCATGAATTCTTTAATAAGTAAAGAGTAAGAACTTAAATTTGAGAAGAATGAAAATGATACTAAAAGCTTGTGTGTGAGAGGTAGATCACTGAATAGGAAAAGTCGTAATCACGATAAGTCAAAACCATCAGGCAAATAGTTTATATACATAATAAAAAGAAGAATAAGAGGAGGTCTAGATATAAATCTAAAACTAGGAATTAGAAAATATATGGGTGTAGGAAAACTGTTCACTTTATAATAGATTACTACAAAAAGAAAAATGAATAGAGCGAAGAGATTGTGGATGATGGACACTTAGTTGAACCTCTAGAATCAAACATGGTTGATGTTTATGTAATCATTAAGCCATCTTTTGATCTGGAAATTGCAAATTTTGCAGATAAAAGTAATGAGATCCTAGATTGGATCTTAGATTCAAGGTTATACTTTTCACACATCTAGAAAACATTGGATAGAGAATTATAGGAAATCAATGAAGAGAAAGTAGTTCTGAACAATAATGTGGCCTGAAAGGTGAAAGGGATTGGAAATATGACGTAGAAATTTTAAATAGTTATATCCATTCCCTTGTAAAGGTAAGATATGTCCCGGAATTGAATAGAAATCTAATTTCTACGGGAGACCTTGATGACATAGGTTTAGAAGGTAGAATTTGAAATAGCTTATTAAAGGTAAAACAGTATGTGGTGGAAGGACTTAGGAATAGAAAAGACTTACTGTAAGTGTAGAACTAATGGATATTCTGAACTTTATGAATATATTTCTTTTATCGATCCAATTCAAGTCTGTGAATAGTGAAAGTATTACGGATTCAAGTTAGGAATTTTTACTTCCCTCAAAAGATGGGAACCTTTCTGATATTCATGTCTCACAAATAGGCAAAATAACACTACACTCCATTTCACATTTTTTAGTGGGGTTATGGGAATTATTGGCGTGGACTTGGGGTAGTGACTGCTTGATAGACTTCAATTGTTCTACGCCTTTTTGTTTTATGACTCACTCATTTCACTTGGTATCATAGTCACCTCTGTGGTGCTATCCCTTTGTCTTGAAGTTGTGGATTAGTCATTGACTGGATTCTACGACGATGATGCGTAT